CCACGTGCAGTACATCCAGACTCTTCTTAGGGAAGCACGCTGTTACAGATTATGGGTGCGTGGAAGTGGATCAAGAGAGCTGTCAGCATACTCATGCAGGCCTTTATGTAGAACCAGCGGGACCTGCCAGTAACCGTACAATGCGCCTCCTAGGAAACCGAGTAGTGCCGGTCATGCAGTTTACGAGGATGTGCCCATCTGCGCTGGTGACAAGAAGAAAAGTTGCATTTTGGGGAAAATAAAATGGACTGAGCAGTATGCTTTAACACGCCTAACCTGTTTGCAGGCTGGCTTCTCTCTTAAGCAGCTGCAGCACTGCCAGTACTTGTTTTCCTAAGCAGCAGCATTCATTCTGACTCCTTAAGGTTAAAAACATCTTTCTCTCAGTAGCTAATTTCAAAGGCAAAAGTGGAAACCCGTGACACGTGAGGTTTAGGTTTAAGTGGAGTTGTGCCAACAGCCTATTTCTGCTGCCTTATGACCTTAGCTTGCTTTTACGTCAGCCAAGGTTAAAAAATTTGAACTTTTTCAAGGCACAGATGTTTTACTTTCAGCATGTTTTTTAACATGTGAATCAAAAGCTGCTGTTGACAGCATTTGTTCACAGGCAGAAACAGAATGAAGCGAAGACGATAGAAATAATTTAGTTAAAATTCCACAAATGAAAAGTGTGTGATGTGATATCCTAATACAGTTGATTGCACCTACTTTTTAAGATCAGGTTATTCTCAGACTATGTTACTAATAGCTGTCTATTTGTCAATACCAGAGCTTTCATTTCTGTACTAAGAATATTTTGTACCAAATGGTGGTGTAGTATTCAGAGTCCTATAGAAAGATCCAATTATTTAAGGCTCATAATATAATCTCAACTTTATGCAAGATGGTAAACTGAGAACAGTCATAAATTCTTATCGTTTTCAACTTTGGATCTGTGGTTGTAGCTCTAGAAATAAATGCGAGACAGTTCTTAAGGGTGAAGTCTGCAGGAGTATCTGAACTTAGGAGCTGAAGTGCAGTGGGATGTAAGCACTAGAAGTTAACACAGGCACTGTTAAAATCCTGCCCAGAGAACTTTGCCTCCCAAAATGCAAACTTTCACCTGTTTATTATTGAGCATTTTTATGTCAAGTTTTTTTTTTACATGAAGATTTTCATAATGAAAACTTGCCCTTCCCCTCTAGCATAATCATCTGCTGCTTTTCCATTTGACCTATGCACGTACTCTGTCAATAGTCATGACTGTTAGCTGAAGATCCCGCTTTCACAGTAGAAAATGTACATCCCTTCTACAGCTGTTTCTCTCAAACCCAGCAGGTACACTCTTGTGATTGTGGCATTGGTGCCTGCTGGGAGAAGTATGTTCTCCTGGCAGCTCCCAAAGAGTGAGAGTTGAAAAGGGATGCTCTTTCTGCAACGCATGATCTGCAGGAAGACTGTGGAGATGGTCATCTCTCCTTGTGTCCAGGTTTCGGCTGGGATAGAGTTGATTTTCTTCCTAGTAGCTGGTATAGTGCTGTGTTTTGGATTTAGGATGAGAATAATGCTAATAACACACTGATGTTTTAGTTGTTGCTGAGTAGTGCTTACACTAAGTCAAGGACTTCTCGGCTTCCCATGCTCTGCCAGGTGCACCAGAAGCTGGGAGGGGGCACAGCCAGGACAGCTGGCCCAGACTGGCCAAGGGGCTGTTCCGTACCATATGATGTCAGTATATGGGAGGCAGCGATCGCTGCTCAGGGACGGGCTGGGCATCGGTCAGCAGGTGGTGAGCAATTGCATTGTGCATCACTTCTTTTGTATGTTCTTTTATCATTATTAGTATTTTCTCTTCCTTTGCTGTCCTATTAAACTGTCTTTATCTCAACCCAGGGGTTTTACTTTTTTTTTTTTTTTTCTCCTGATTCTTTCCCCCATCCCACTGGGGGGAGAGGAGGAGGGGCAGGGAGGGTGAGCAAGCAGCTGCGTGGTGCTTAGTTGCTGACTGGGGTTAAACCATGACACCTTGCTTGTCAGGCACGAGTCCAGCCCTTATTTTGGCAACTTCTCCTCACTGAAGTCCTGCCTACGCTCACCTGGTCTTCCTTGCCACTCTAGGAGCACCTTCCCCTTCAGGCTTCCTAGAAATATCTTGTTCAGCCTTCTGCAGGAAGACAGGGAGAATTATATCCCTTACCACTGCCCTCTCACAGCAGCGGGGAGCAGGAAGTATTCATATCCCTGAACTTGCTGCTCCTCCCAAGGCCTTGGAAAATGGAGTAAAAAAGGTCACATCCATCAGTTAGGGTAAAGGTTGTGGGGAGGGGCAAATACCTGTCTGCATGGCGCTCGCTCTTCCTTCACCCCACGAAGATGAAAACAAAGTAGGTCAGAAGATAATAAATGTTACGATACACATAAACCCTGTTAGGAGCTCTCAGGAACAGCAGCGACATAACAGAGTGCTTATTACAGGCACTGGCAAAATCCTTGTGGCTGATTTTGGATTGCATCAGTGACTTGTAGTCAGATACATTTATTTTTCTCTTGATTGCTTTGCGTTTTATCAGTCATAATGAAAGGGAAAACACTTCTCAATTTTAGAATGCCATTTAAAAACACTTTGGCCTGAAAAAAATAAGATGAAGAATGTTGCCCTCCAAAACTAAGTGATTAAAATGTTTCAAGATGAATTTGAAATCCAAATATGAGCAATTTGAAGAATTCCAGGTGTAGCTGTCTAGAAGCAATGTTTTCTCTGACTTCATCTCCACAGTGAATGTAATTTTCTCTCCCTCCATTTACAACATAAACCTTGTTAAGGTTGCTACTTGTAGTCCGTAAAGCGATCAATGAATTACGGACTTCATTCTAACCAGGGGTGTATTTGTCTTTCTGTTTTAACATCTTAACTCTCAGCCTTCATATCTAGTCCAATGTGTTTCCTTCTCAGCTGGCATTTCATGAAGTGGCTACTGTGTTTGTGTGTCTGCCACACGGCAGGAGCCCCAAGGCTTACTTTTCTGCTCCATGGGTTAGGGAGTGACCCTTGATGAGAAAGTGCTTCGTAGTGGGAAAGCTCTTTAAAAAGTTCCTGGAAATAACAGTCACTCCTTTACTGTCACAGAGCTCTAGACGGCATTGTGCAGTATTAGAGATGAGGGTTGGTAACTCAGTTGTTTAAGTACTTGCTGGCTGGATTTGTGAATAGATTTATTATTTTCACCTCTATTGTCGACTTTACTCATCAGTATACGAATAACTAAGTAACAAATTATTCTGGTTTACCCAGGTAAGACCAACGCATATTCCTGGAAGAGAATTCTCAAGGAAATCCTCACTCAATCTTTACTTTTTGTTAGAAGCCTTGTATACTAATATAAAAATTGTAGGCTGAATATTTTCAGTTTAAGTCATGAATTCTGTATTAAGTTATAAATCTGAAATACTAGCCTTCGTGGATAGTCCTTGACAAATATCATGGATGTTAGATACTTTTTTTTTCTTCAGTATTTTCTAGATGGTAAGGAATACATTTTCTCTGTGAGATTGTTTAAAGTAGGTTAGCATCAGCTTTCCTACCTTCCTCTGCGACTAATTTTGAAGCATGATAGTGAATCACTGAATCGCTATCAGAATCACCGATAGTGATTGCAGCAGTGACATTTGCTTTCTCCCTCCTCCTCTTCCAGAGTTCTGGCTGGTCCTGGACACGGCATCAACATAAATAGTGGCAAGATGTGGGCAGCCTGAGCTTGTGCATTCCCTAATGAAACAACTTACTCTAATGCTAATACTGTCATTTCTGAAAGGATATCTGTGAAAGAGAAGAAAATACGCCACTTGGCAGGAACAGTGTTCATGCAGGATGTTCTGGACACTTGCTATCAGCTGGACTGCATATAAAAAGCTAATTGCTATAGTTTTCCTTCTTTCTCCAGGAACTTGAACTGGTAGTTTTTTCACACATACTTTGTATGTTTTCTTTTCCCACCCCCTTCCCCTGTACCCTTCATTTCAGATCTAAATGAGTGCGGACTAAAGCCGCGGCCATGCAAACACCGGTGTATGAATACCTACGGCAGCTACAAGTGCTACTGTCTGAACGGCTACATGCTTATGCCAGACGGAACGTGCTCGAGTACGGCAAGGCTTGTTTCTTTTTTCAAATTCCTCAAGATCCCTGCTTGGGTTGCCCTGGGAAACTTGAACGAAATGAAGTTCAGTCCCAAAGTAAAAGATTAATTGTGCTGGAAATTAGGCAGTTGCACAAGATGAGTTTCTTTTTTCTAATAAATTAGGCTGAACAAAACAAGAGCAAATATTTTGATTTTATTAGTTTTATTATGAGTTTCCCCAGAAGCATTCTTCAGTACTGTAAATCACTGCTAATTGGCCTCCAAGGACAAGTGCTTGCAGTTTTCATTGCAGCTAGACACCTGCAGTTTTGCTGTATTATGTCCTTATGAATGTAAAATCATTAAAGCTGCAGATGTTGGTTGTTTGACTGGTATAAAATTGTATTGTCATCTCTCTGGAGATCAGGTTCCTACTTGCTTCCATAAAAGTGGATACTTTGAGTGTCTGGACAGAGAGAAGGGGAGAGAAATTACCTTTAATTAGAAATGCTCCTATTTTAAAATGGCAGTACTGTCCAGGAGGGTTTGTGGTACATACTGGGCTTTATGTTCCTTGTGGAGGCTGCATTCCATTTTTTATTATTTTTTTTTTTCCTTCTTAGAGGTGCAATTTGTGGAAAGAAAAAATTTACTACATAGGCATTTGCTGCTTAAAGCCTGAATGGGTACCTGTCAAATTCAACAAGCATTTTTCCACTGCTATCATAATTATATGACACCTTAATTCTCCAAAGTTTTTAGTCATTTTCTGGTACTGATCGGGGTCCTTATCTAAATATGCTCAATTATTTTTCCCTAGATGCCCTTTCTTGCTCGATGGCAAACTGTCAGTATGGCTGTGATGTACTGAAAGGGGAAGTACGCTGCCGCTGTCCTTCTCCAGGACTGCAGCTAGGGCCTGATGGAAGGACTTGCGTAGGTAAGTGATCAAATGTAGATTTAATTTTTTTTTCTCCAGAATGTTTTTATCCTTACACTGAACGCAGTTCAAGAGAGTTTCAGATGTATTTAGAATGCAGTTTAATACATGCAGTTTAAAGGCGCTACTAATGAGAATTGAGATAGGCATGTTGCTCAGGTACAAATTTGTGAAAATCATTGAGATTATACTGGGACAAGGTGACGGTCTCCCAGTATTAATAGGATTGAAGCTACTGTCTTTCTTCCATACGGTGAAAACTCCAGATTAAAGTAAACTGAGGAATTTAGACTGTATAAAAGTGTTTTGTTCCCACGTTCGTGAACATGGAAAAGGTGCTTATGGTTAATCAGACTGTATTGTGCCACACTCCACTATGGTCTGAAGAAGAGTGTGATGTGTGATTTCATTAGTCATTAACTATACAACCTAAGTGGATATGATGCTCCAGTGATTTTATTATTTATATCCAATGCAGTGCTACCGTTCCATAACCAGTAACACTTGCACTGAAAGAATGTAAGAGAATGTGGATGCCCTAATTATCCATTTGGGTATCGTGACTGTCCGCAGGGGAGGTGGTTCTCCAAGTGGCTGACCCATTCTGACCGAGAATTTATTGGCAAAGCAAGGGACAGATTCTAGATCTTCTGATGTGAGGAGCAGGCTCACCTTTAAGTCAGAAGCTTTCTGAAGTGCATGATTGGTGTGTCTATGTATGCAAAAGAATGGGTGGAATGGGAGGAAAAAAGCCCACCATTGTCACATGCTGAAGGGATTGAATTGTGATTACTCACACTGTGGACATTATGGCAGGCAGAGATCTTTGGAAGAGACTTGTTCCATGCCATAGTGAGCTGAGTGATTTTAGAGTACAAATTCAAGGAAGTTACACCAAGCACAGAAATTTGCTGGAAAAATACTCCTAGTGTGCATTCTTATATTGAGGCAAACTTTATACTTTAAAACAAACAGAGTGCACTTTTAATGCCGAAGACTAGCACTCAAGCCAGTTATATGAAGCACTTTCAGTTCTTCAGTGTAGTTTTCAAAAAACCACTTTTTTTCCCAGAAAGGTGAAGAACTGTGTACCCACATTTCAGTTGGGTGTGCGTCATTCAGGTTGATCTCACAACCTATTTTTAAAATTTTCCACAAAAATTTCAGAGCAGCCTTGTACAATACAGAGAAAGTAGTCACAGCAAGAGATGTCTGTCCTTCATGGGTCATAACATGATCTACTCCCCTTTTTTGGTAAGAAGTGATTGTGAAACGCACACTTTTTGTATTATTTCTCTATCAAGTTTGAGTTGTACTAACACCAGTAAATACCTCCAAGAATTGAAGCTAGGCTAGGGGCTATTTGGGACTAGGACTGTGCCTTTTCCTCACATGTGTACAAGCCTGTCACTGCTGGGGAGGTGTCAGCTCCAGAGAGGGTCTGCAGTACAAATAGAAGTGTAGATGATGGTAAAAAAAATGAAAGCGTGCATTGGCTACAGCTCATGAAATCCTTGTTTGAGGAGAGTTTGAAAGACAGCTGGGAATGTAATGCTTATTTTTAGCACAGGTGGAAATTCCTCTAGGCATTATTCTATTCTTAGTTTAACCCATGCTGATCATTCACTTGTTAGAACGTTCCTTCCAGATAATCAGTGTAGAGCCACCAAACAATTTGGCTACGAAGGTAAATCATATAAACTAAACAACAATGAATTGAAAAAGAGTTCAGCAAAGAATTCAGTGAAAATATGGATTGACTAATTAATTGATTAATGACTCTTGAATCAATAAATCAATCAGTGTTGCCAGCTTTTGGGATTGGGATTTTCATTTAATGAAATTAGCAGTATACACATTTCAGCTTCAGAAGGTCTGAAATTATTTGAGGACTGAAAATAATTGTTTTCATTGTAAAATGTTCTTTCTAGTTGTCTTGGTTGTGTATAGAAACTTGAAAATATGAACTTGTAAACTTAAAAATCGTACTATTTTTAAGTCAATTTCATAGCTGTTCAGTGCTTGAGTTGGAAATATGGTCGTACTCACAGCAGGAGGGAAGCAAGACTTCGTAATTCTGCTTCTCTGTTGAACACTGACCGTGGCACGCGTTAGGTGCTGTCTGTATTACGTGCCTTCGGAGCAGCTCCCTGGCGCCAAGTCTGGCCATGCACCTCCATGGCAGACCAGGCTGAGATCAGAGTACCAATCACCCCCTCATGCCCTGGTTTTCATAGGAAGCAGGCATGAGCCACAGCATGTTGCAGCAGGCGAAGGGAAGCAGCCTTACACGGGTCGGGCCCAGGTGTGAATTGGCATGGGTCCATGGACTTGAAAAAAGCCACAGTCGCTGTACTGTTTGAGAACTGCAGGAAACTAATCATAAGCACTTGCATGCCAGCTTCTAGCTAATGATTGAAAAGTGTTTTTCCCAACAGTAACAAGTATCCACCCACCTCTCCTATTAAATGCAAGCAGCACTGTTACTTTTTTCCATTATTTTTGTGTCGGTTTTCAACAGTGTATTGATTAGCAGTTCAGTCCTGTATCTTTAGGATGTATAACTGCCTAGAAAATTAAACAATACCACTACAGTGCTCTCATCATCTAACATACTTCTTGCCTTTTGGGAATTTGCAAAAACATGAATATGTACAGAGGGAAAGGCAGGACAAGCTACATTAGGTTTTAAAGAATACAGTCCATGCCATGATGAGGCATATTCAGTGGCTAATCTTTTTCTTACTGAATTGCTTTTTGAAGTTGTGGTTTAAAGATAAAAACAACAACAAAGAACTCCAACTAACAGTAATCAAGAGTCTGAAATTTGCAGCCTTGAAATAATATTTTAATTAAGGACAGAAAATGGTGGCTTGTAAATTAAATAATGGTAAGGAACACGGTAGAATTTATAAAACCGTTAATAATGTACTCAAAGCCTAAAATTTTAATAATAGGTTCAAACCAAGAGGCAGATTTATAGGGAGATTCAGGCATGTGGAGAGGTGCCCAGTGTCGGCCTCATTTTCTTTCTCCGTCAGGCCTGTACCGCGGCATTGCAGAAGTGCTCCCGACTGAGAGCAAAGGAGAGCTGCTGTGTCAGAGCAGCCTGACCGGCCAGGAGCGTGGGAGGCAGCCCAGGGGCTGCATCCTTGCTGTCCTCAGTAATTCTTCATGTAGAGTGGGACAGTGCCAGCAGGAGCTACTGGGACAGCCCATCTAGCCAGTAATTCATGGCTTTAGGTCACTACTTTTGGCTGTGGGAAACACAGCTTGGAGCATTTGAAGTTGCATCTCCCCTGCCTCAGGTAGCTGCCCTAACTAACCAGCAGTTTTGTGGTAACATTTCTCCTGTGCTGTGCAAGAGACTCGGGCTTTTCTCTGCCTTGATCAGGCCTCTTTCACAAGCAGCAGGGCATCAATCACTTGGCTTTGTTTTGCACTCTTGACACCTGCAGCTGAAGTGCTCCTTTTGGGAAAAGAATTGCGTAGAGAGCAAAATCTTGCTTTCCCGATAGAGCTGCAGAGCAAAGGCTTGAGCTGTGCTCTGTAGATAACCAACAAACGTCTGGAGCGGCGTGCGTCAGAGGCAGCCATGCATGGCAGGCCTCTGCCTCAGCGAAGAATGAGCGTTCAAGCACTCAGCAGGCTTCAGCTCGGTTTCCAAGGGCTACAAAGTGAGTGGTAGCGCAAGCAGCTTTTGTGGATCAGCCTGACCTCATCTGAGAGTTTCCCAGACAGTGAAAGCAGCGCTGAGTGAGCATGGGCTGCTCCCTGCATCTCTGCCTGGCTTGTTCGTCAGCACGAAGAACAGCATCTTCCGGGAGATGAGGGGCATCAGACGTTTACTGAGCGTCACCTGTGTCTTCCCACTCCTCTGTCCTTGCCTGGACGTCGCGTGCTGAAGCACTGCTTCAGGTCCTCCTGGGAACCCCTGGCAGGGAAAATGGGAGCCATGTGTCTCAGAACCTCGGAGATATTTTAAGGTCGCTTAAGTAACCAACCTCTCTGTGAAAGAAGGGTCAGCTACAGCGCAGGCATTGCAGGATAACAGATTGCAAGCAGCAGGTCCTCAAAAGCATTTGGCCTGTGGTAACTGGCTGGTAGGAGACCCAGAAGTACCGCACCCCTGGCATTAGCTCGAACTCTCTTTGTTTAGAGCAAGTCCTGAACAGATGAAGATTTCCTGATAGGCTCAATGGGCAGGTCATGGATTAGAGACACCTGAGATTTTAAAAAAACAAACCACTTCCTGCTGCAGGGTGATGTACTTTGAATATGCACGTATGACCTGTGCTACAGGAACAATATTTCACGCATGTTTCAGAAAAAGAATTACTGGGGTGTTTTTTATTATTACTCTGCAAAATCTGCAAATTTTATCTGCAAATAAAAGTCTGCAAATCCAGGTGCTGTTTTTATAAGCAGGCAGGGCTTAGTGGGACAAAAGAAAATTATACGAATAACATGAAATAGCTTTTCTTCAGACAAATGCCATTACAGTTTTAAGGATGAGTGTTTTGAGGCCTTGAAGATGCTGTCGTGCATCCTGTGGGGAATTAGAGAACATCTCCTCTCCAAGGCGAAGGGTACCAGGATGGCAAGAGCATAGAGCAAGCATTCCAAATTCAGTAGCAATGCTCGTTATGCCAGTGCATCTCTTGTCACTCACAGTATTTGTAAAGGCTTCTGGCACACGAGGCATAAAAATTTGGGCTGAACTGAGATGGCACCGCCAGAAGAAGTGCTCAGGTATTACTGCTGGCTGACTAGCTTGTAGCCAAAAGGACCTTATCAAAAATACTTTGGCTGTTCTTCAGTTTTTCATTATGTGAAACCAGTTTAATTTAGATAGTATAGGTTGTATTTTAACTGCTGTTAAGAATAATACAGTTCCTTTGTTTCCACAGATATTGATGAATGTGCTACTGGGAGAGTTATCTGTCCACGGTTTAGGCACTGTGTCAATACCTTTGGAAGCTACATTTGCAGGTGTCATAAAGGCTTCGATCTAATGTACATCGGAGGCAGATACCAATGCCATGGTAATAACAACTTATTTCTTATGTGTATGTAATAGACCTGCATGTTCGAAACTGAAATTAATGGTTTAAAGAGGAATATTTGCTTATTATGGCTGAAATGTCAAAGCAGGTTGTTTTACATTGCACTGCATCTGTATTTTAGGAAAGAGTGGATTATAGAAATAGACTGTGGAAAAGAAAGCATATATGTGGCCCCCATTCTTGTAACTGGTTCTTCTGTGGAAGCTAGTGGGACACCAGAGCTGATGACCCCAGGAATTCCTTTCCAAGGCCTTTGTCCCCACAAGTTTCACTGTGCACAGGCAGTTGCAGGTTTGGAGCAGCATTTGAGCTTAGGCTATGTCTGAGCTGTAACGCAGGTGTGCTCCATGGCATGCCCCAAGATCCAAGATAAGAAAATGTGGCTAGAGCACACCCCAGATCCTTCCAACCCAGGCTGCCCAACTTTCCTTCCCCTGAAGACAGGTGGGGAAAAGGCAGAGGTTGGGGAATAACCTGTCTTTGTCTGGACATGAGACTGGAATGCAGCTGGTGTATGCCCTTCAACAAAGATGTTCCCAGGTCCCACTATGTTAGTTTCCCAGGGCCTCAACTGGTTATGATCCTTTCACTGAAAAAAGGATCATGTGGAGATAATGAGGCGTTGCTTTATGTTTGTTTAAGTATATTTTTTGGAGAGAAAACTCTGTGCAGAGCACTGGAATTTGGCAATTTTTGCTTGCATCACTAACAACAAACATGGAAATGCCATAGAAGACGTTTGAAGCAGTTTCTACTTGATGTAGAAACATCTATACAGATGTGTAATAGAGGAAGCATTTTATGAAAAAGCAGTTCAATGCCTGTGTGATTAAGAACATACATATTCCCATACTTAGTTTTTCTTTTCTTATCATGTCACCTTTAAGAAGTGGTTATTAAAATTGTGATCTCAGCTGCAGTCTACCCACAGCACATGACTGAAGCTGATGCTAAGGTATAAGCTGAGCAATACCAGAGTTGCCCAATAGTCCCTTTTACCCTGACGTTTGTATCACCACATTGATTTGTGACTATCTTCCTTGTTCCACTGGCAATTTAGTTTTATTGTATTTTTCAAAATTAATAATATTTTCCTAATGACCATACTACTGTTTGTGTTTTTCCAGGGATAAGTGGAAAGTCAAGTTTCTTTGATGTAAATGATTTTTTTAATGTAACTTTCTGTTGCAGATATAGATGAATGTTCCCTTGGCCACCATCAGTGTGGCAGTTTTTCACGATGTTACAATACACCAGGATCCTACAAATGCAAGTGTAAAGAAGGGTACAGAGACAATGGAACAAACTGCATACGTATGTAATGCTCCTTTTAAAAAAGGAATTCTGAAGTAAATGTGTCCCATGTTGTAAATTTTGAGATACAGCACTATGAGGCTCAGTTTCTTTTAACTATTTTAATACTTAATAAGAGGCCAGGGAATGTAGTCAGTTTTCTGAGTCTTAGCATGCCTTGGTAAAAATACCTTTCCCTGAGACATTTTCATAATTAGAAAGAAATTCACCTCTCCCTATTCACAGCTTCATTCTAGAGATTGCTTCAGGATGAGACCAACTGAGTAAGCAGGGTAGGTCTGGTCAAACAGTACGTATTACTCATACCCTGTTGTTATGTACACTCTGCCACTGGCCCGTTTCAGCACCTCACCCCATCCACTCCCCACTGCTCCCCAGATGCGAGCAGAGCCGAGAGGGAGGATTTCTGTGGAAGAATTCCCTGTTGGAGAATTCCCTTCCTCACCTCTCTCTTGGGAGAAGCAGCCATCCCCCTTGGTACCGAATAGGCCATTGGAGCTCCCCCATATTTGACATCCCTCAGGACTGTGCAGCTCTATGACATCTGCTGAATCTTTTCGAGGACGCTGTGTTCATACGTGGGTTCTGGTCTTCGGTGACTCACTGATCTCTTCAAAGAGCAGTACCATTGCCGATGTGTTTCCTTTGGCTGTAGCTGTCACGGTGACGTGATGTGGCTAAGGTGATCTTTCACAACCTGCGTGCTTGCAATTGTATGTGGGCACACTTCACATGTGTTACTGGGGCATAGTCCTAAGGTGCACTTTATATTTGAATATACCATAATGTAAAAACCGCAGGGTATAAAAAAAATAGTAATAAAGAGGTGGCCGGAGAGAAAACCTTTTTACCTGCTATCATCAAACAATTCATTGTTTAACAAACAGTAGTTCTTTATTTTAACTGTGTGTTATACTTGAAACACTTGTACACAAAATATGTGACTAGAGTTCTTATTGGGCCTCTTAAGATCTCCAGCGAGACATAAAAGGCTTATTAAGAAATAGAAAATTATATATAGCAAAACAGATGTTCTTGCATTTCATGTCTGCAGAAACTCACTGTGTGAAACCAAGTTAAAATTTGTTGTCCTTTATGAACTGTTGGGGAAGATGGTACTGTAGGCACAGTCATTGTGGTACTAGGTGGTGCTCAGTTTGCCTTCTCCTTTTTGTGGAGGTTGGAAAAAATGCCATTTACTTAGTTTCCTAGTGTTTAGCAAAGGTAAAGATCTAAATGAAGGCTATTGGCTTAGGTTCAATCTCTGTAAGATTATTAATGCTTATTGACAAGGAGAAAAGTTTAGAAGAAGTGGAGAGGTCTGAAAGATAACTTTCTTAAGCCAAAGGTATCTGCCCATCCATGACCAAAATGGTTGTGACATTGGGGTCTTACTAAACTCGCCTCCGCTCCCGAGTACAAACTTGTCCGGTTTAGAGGGCTGCTTAGCCCACATCTTCCTGTCCATGCTTTTTTACTAACAGTGCTTTTGGGTAAGTTTTACCACCTCTGAAAGAGGGTTGATGCTTCAGAGGAGGTGGGGATGGAAGTCTCTTGGCCTTCAGTCATTCTGAATCATCTCTAAACTGCTGTAATGAGAAGTACCGTCTAAAGGGATGCGATAATTCAGGAGTGCTGATGCTAAAGTATGTTTCTAATTAGCAGAAACATTCAGAAGAAGAGAAATTATTTCAGCAAAGACTCTCTGTGTCACAATGACATATATTGTTAAGTTTCTGGAGCGAGAGACTCCTGTGTCCATTTTGGTCCCATTTTGATTCTCTTTGCAGTTATTCCTAATGTTACGATTGAACCACCTGGTCCATATCATATATTCAAGGGCAACAGCACGCACCCTAAGGGAGGCAGTGGTATAACCAATAGGATTCCTGATGTTGGGGGCCCAAGGAAACCCCTCAGACCACCATTTGTACCTGCTGTTATTACAGAAAGGCCAGTGACCAGGCCAACAACTCGACCTACACCCAGGCCAACAACTCGACTGACACCAAAGCCAACCACTAGGTATGTGCCAGTGACAAGGCCAGTAACGAAGCCAGTGACGAGGCCTCCACCTCCAACACCACCTCGGCCTACAACGTTAAGACCCACACTACCACCACAAAGAACTCCTCTGATAACAACTGAAGAGCCTTCACGTGTTCCCATTGAAACTACATCTTCCCAAGGAATTACAGATGACAACAGGATCCAGATAGATCCTCAGAAACCCCGAGGAGATGTGTTCAGTAAGTAATTTTACATGTCCTTTTGTTTATCAGAATTGTAGATGCAGTGAGGTGAAAGCATGCGCTGTACTGTTTGGGTTTTTTGGAACACTTTATCAGTGAGAACAAAGACATGAAACTGAAAGCGTTCATATGGTAAAGCTGCACAAATAATTGATTTTATGACCTAACAAAAATGTAGGGAGGAAGTTCTGGATCAATTCAACCAAAAATTTCAGTTTTTCTTCCTGAAATTACTTGCGCGTATATCATCCTGTATAAGTGCTTAACCTAATTATGCTTTCAGATGGAAGTTTTGGAGAAAGAAAGACATTTTATTGAAAAACAATGAAATGCAACATAACTCAAAAATAGTTAATGGATTCATATTCAGGGAGTTGAGAGTCACTCTTAGACAGCATAACAACTCGACTTTAAGAATGCTAAGAAATGGGACCATGTCTGATTACCCAAAGACTCTGTTATGTCACCTTATTGTATGAATTCAAATAGTCTTGGGTGTTCATGACTAAGCAATGGCAAAATTGTGTAAAAATAGCATAGAGGCTAATTTTATGGACTGCATCTATGAAAATGGATACATGAAAAGCTAAAGATACTAAAGATTCTCATAGCATAAACACACGTCATTTTAAGAAGCTTCTCTGAAAGCTACAGCGCCATTTCTGCGCCAGCTTTAGTGCATACCGCAGAAGACATTACTGGCACATGCAGAGTTACGCATATCTGCCAAGAAATACTCAACACCCGATTTCATCTTCAGTTCTGCTGCTAATTTTAGAGATGGGGAGGGTGTGCTGCATCAGCCCTTCTCCTTCAGCTTGATGTACAATAAAGCTGCTGAAGCAGTGTAGTAGGAGGAAAAGTTTGCTGCCTCAGAGCAGGTGTACAAGCAACGTGGGAGTTTTTTTCCGGTTGCTTTGGCATCTGTGCGGTAACTTCTTGGGCTGTGTTCTCTTAGGTCATTACGCAGTGAAATACTTCGTTCCTTGTAAAAAATGGTTTGTTTTCCCTGTTGACATTTTATCTGTTGTAGACAGTTTGGTAAATTTAAAAGGGAGACAAAAGCTGGCTTAGAATTTGGGAAGATAAATCCTGGTACTGCTCAGCGTGCTTTTGGCTTTTTCAAGGTTATTTTTTAAACAATCTATATTAAGTAAAAATAGGAAAACATTTTTATGTAAAATTCTAAAAAGAAATATAGTAAAGACTCCCAAAACTTAATGGGAACCAATAGTTAAAAATACAGAATTCTGTGGAAATTATTCCAGACTCTAGCATTGCACTTCCCAGGCTGTCTCGTGTTGCAAGTGTTCTCTGGAATTCTAAAGCAGAGGGACAGTTTTCAGTTATTTTCATGACGTCATAACAATCATCTGTATAAAGCTTATTATTTACAATTAGTCTTTCTCTATTGTCCCTAGAGGCTCTATTTTGAAGCTAATGCTTTCAACATGTGTGCTTCAGATACAAGGGTTTGGCAAGTAGGGAAGTTAAAGTGTTTAAGTTTGTTTTCTGACTGTAAGCTTACATTATGGTACATACAACAAACACAGGAGAAGTTGATCTCTGCTAAGTGTTTATCAACTGTTTAGGCCAGCTGCCACCCTTTGAGGTTTGTGATACACATACCTAGCTTCAAAGGCTTCAGCACACCATACAGCGGGATTCCAACAGCTCAAGCATCAGCAACTGTTCACTGGCTTCAGTAGGTAACACCGGGAGAGAGAGCTCCTCAGATCAAGTCAATAGATATGTGTCTTTAATCCCATATTATTTCTTCTTCTGTCCCCTGCCAAAGATACACTTGTGGCACATGTGTGACATAACTGCGGGACAAGGCGGACACTCCACCTGTGCTACCTCGTCAAGGAAAGCATTGCTTGTAGAGGAAGGTGTTACTTTTACCTGTTGAATCCTGTTACTGCAGGAGTTTGTGGGGAAGGGGAGAAGTTACAGTTCCTCATGTGGGACATCTAGCGTAGCAGGTAGAAAAGTTACAGCCACATACATTACTACAATGGGATGCGCAGGGCATGACTCAGCTTGTCCTTGCCTGCTCTGAGACCTGCACTTGTAAGGATGATACAGAGATACTCAGTCATCCCCAAATGTCATCACACCAGAGATTCATGGGAGCGATGCTGCCAGGTGCTGAGTTCCTGGGCATTAGCTGGGCTGCAGAACTGGCTGCATGCGTGCCCTTGGCCAGTGGCAAGTGCAAGATCAAGCGCATTAGCTCAGATGCCTTTCACGTTAGCTTACAGATGGCATGTGCCGGGCGGGTTAAGCTTCAGGTTCCTGCTGGTGTGCTGCAGGCCAGCCCTGCCCCTGCTCCAGGCCCGTGGGAGGGCAGTGCCTGACTCCGTTAGGCTGCAGCTGCTCTGCGTGAGGCACCGCAAGCTCAGGACGGCAGTGCTTCCACCAGGCGTAAGCCAGGGCCTCTCGAAAAGCATTCCTCACAGCCAAACACAGTGTTAACAACCACGATATTAAGACGATACAGAATTTTAAACTGAGATAACTAGTAACATTTAGCTAACCTCTGACGTGCTTCTTACCTGCCGTGTGAGTGTGCCACCCCCCAACCCCACAAAAACGTTTGTGGATTTTTCACTTGCCTCTGTATTTCCTCAGGGAAGGGGCTTTTTCAGCTAATTCCTTCAGCTTCTTTAAAACTGTGGCTGTTTTAATCTCACCTACATCAGGCATCTTTGTGGTATTCCTGGGCTGTGGATATGAGCTAATTTCGTTTGGCTTATACTGAGCCTCTTTAGCTGCATTTCCCTATGTCATCTCCTTCTCCAGTTGAGGCAGCAAAGCAGCTCAAAAATGAATTTGCACTGTGGTCCCCATATGCCTGCCTGAAAGGAGGAAAGAAAGCCTTGCTCTAGCCTTCTTTACTTGTTTCCCACGGGAGAATGCAGGCAGCGATTCGGTCATCTTATAACACTCATTGTCTTGGAAAACAGAGGAGGATCCACTCAGATCATGAAGTAGGACTTAACTTCAGTTTTGTAAAGTCTTCAGAAGAGTTACGGTGTCTTCTTAGATGGCTGCTTCCTCACGCGTCGCCAAGGGCTGTTGTATCCCAAAGGGTCACAAAAGGTAGTGTTTTATCACACGAGGATGGGCAAAAACCCAGCACGGAGAGCACTGTAGCCAGCAACCACTGGCAATTCTGATCTTCCAGCCCTTAGCATCTGCTGCAGACCTCAGTATTTAAAACTGTGTTTTTAAACTAGGTTATCTTGTGATGCATGGACTTTTTCCTTCCTTTTTTTTCCCCCCTCAGGCTCTGAAGCCGTAGCCAGCTTTGACAAAGCAGCATGACAGTAAATGCTGCTTTGCTTAGCCATCTGAATAGGTGCTATTGCCTAACTGCCATTCTGTTAGGCAACCCATGGCAAAGGCGTAGTTGGTGGCTGTACCCTGATAGAAGTCCTAGTGCGCTAGACCAAATCATGCAAACATACTGGTGGTCTAGGACTGGGCCAGATCAGGAGAGGAAACGTGCCTGGGCAAGTGTACTTTTCTCTGCAAGCATCTCTCAATTTTTAATTTTTCATTATTTAACCTTTTCCTGAGCTTACCCTTGGTGACTCGTTGCTCCTCATTTTCTCCCTTTGTGATATTTGACCTGCCCTCCCACACGCTGAGTAAACTTGTCCTAAGCTTTCACTTCAGAACACTCTTGAATGTGCTGCTCAGCTTGAAATCAGCTGAGGACCGGTGAAGTTGGTCTGTTCAGTGGTGACAGAGCACAAACGATAGTAATGCTGATAATGTTATTTAAATACCTTTGCAATTTTTGAAAGGTATTGGGTGGTTGTGTTTCTTTAGGTGTTTTACCCCTTTTCTAAAAATGCCTGCAGTGACTTTGGGGAGCTGCTTTCTCAGAGAAGAAAAAAATGAGTATTTTTTAAAATGGAATTCCTACACTTGGCCTTTGAACCACTTAGTCAGATGCAGACAGTGGAATCTGGCACCAAGGATAATCTTCTCCTGTTATGGATATGGGGGGAATGGCAATGAGGGAGGAATGCAGCGATGGCTTAATATTTAACTCTTTCAGGACTGATACAAACTACAGTGAAGTACAGAGGAATCTTTTCTGGTTACTCAGATGGATAAAATCTCTAACAAATAGAACATATTTCTCAATAAGACTATGAGTTTCTGCTACCATCGGGATCTGGGTGATAATATTAAAAACATAAACTTAAAGACAAAGCATAATAGTAGATATCAGCAGAGCAAGAACAAAAACCCTTATCTGTATTAAGAGATAGTTCAGCAATTTTCCTTCTTAGCCCTTAGTGGAGCTGAAAAGATAGGAGACTTTTCTCGTAACAGCTATTAAAAAAATTTAAAGATTGGATTAAAACTTGATTCTTTCTGCTCTCCCTTTCAATGACTGAGAAGTCCCTAGTGTAGTAAATGCAGTTGTGTGATCCTCGAAGCTGTTGAAAAAAGGGAGATGCTAAAAGCAAAAATACCGGGTTTGTTATTGCTTGATATCATTAGAGTAGCATCATTTTACAAGAGCATTTCATTTGTCTTCACTGGTCTAGCACCTATTAAAATGTATTTGTCTTAATATTTAAGCATTTAATAGAGGCACTTTGGTCCTGTTTGTACTCTGGAGCTAAATCATAAGATCTAGGAGGCTTACAAATGACACCCTCCATCAATCTTCCAGCTAGTTTTATCCCCAGATCTGATATGCAAGCTTCTGTAGACGACTTATTTTAGCCGTGTTTCCCTGAAACTCAGTTGTGACTCTGCACCTCCCGAATAGCTGCTCATAGAAAAGCAGGCAGGTTACTCTTCAGAAAATCTTCTGGGAAGATATAACTTTAGGTCAAAGTTAACGAGCCTTGTAACTGCCCGAGAAGTGCAAGACTGGACTTTAGAGTGGTCGCACAGTACCACCATCTCTCCCCTCTTATGCAAACGGTACCGTAGAGGGCGGGACAGTCCATGAAAGCCCTTCCTGAAATAATGCTCACTGCAGAATTTGAATTTGCGGAGTTTTAGGCAACAGATCCTGGACGCTGCAGGTACCCAGCTAAAAGGGTGAAGGGTGCGTCTCTGCTGCCCCTTCTTTTTAGCCCAGCATATATCAAACTCTTGGAAGGACTTGGAAAACAGGACGTATTCTTGTTTATGAAGTCTGACTGACCTCTGGACTACCCTTCCTTTTAGCTATTTTCTACTAGTTCTGCATGAGATCTCATCGCTTGTGGGGTTTTTTTGGAAGTGGAATCTAACAACTTTCAATCGTAACTATTCAGTCAAAAAATCTTTATCCTTTGTTGTTGTTGATGATGTTTTTAACGAACGGGAAGCTTGGTCATGATTATTGTGTGGAGTGGAATTGCATAAGAACGCAGTGTTTGTTGTAAGGCAGAACACTGCGTTATTAATAGTAATAACAATTACTAATAAGATGAAGCTGCACTCCCCGTTTTGTTTTGGTTTTGTAACACCAAAACAGTGATTATTCTGTAGTTACAAATAACCTGACATATGTACACACCATCTCTTACACTCCCAAAGTCAGCAATTAGCAAGTAAATGAAAAAAAGTCCTAGTGTTTTCCCAAAGGATTAAAAAGCTGAAAAGAAATCAGTCTTAGGCGGTTATTAAATGTTCCCCCCCACATTCATGCATCTATGAAGAACTTAGCTCATGAACTTTGAGAATATGGTACTGTTGATGTATTGGCTCACTCGGAGCTTATACAATTCTCCAAGAAAAAGAAGCCAAGTTTATATTTAACAAGCTTTATCAAACCATTGAAGTTAAGTGAAAAGCACACCGATACGCTATATAAAGTACACAGAAAGGGCTTGGAAAGCTTGCAGAAAATAATTGTGCCAAATACTTTCTCCCACGATCGCCACTCAACATATTAGTCATTGTAGCAAAAAGAAGCGTACACATGGATCACATTTAGAGTCCTGCATCTCTTGTTTCATATCAAGTGCACATTCCTCTAATTAGGTCTGAGCACTGGTGTGACTGGTTTAAAGCTCTGCAACACGTTCTTCTTGAAGTTCATAATAACAGGGCTTAGAGAGGACTTTAGAGAAAGGTTCTGAAGAAATATTTTATTGTAGAGCTGTAATTATAGGCAAATATCAACTTTAATTTGGAGAATGCTTCTATGTGTGCACAGACGTAACTCAGATTTGTATGAAATAACCGTGCGTACAGTATATATGTACGCCGCGCTCAGCAGTTTTGAAGCAAATTGCCGTTCTTCATTGCTTGTTCTTCATAGCGTAGGAAACGAACAGGATCTTTTCTCCCTAGCGCAGCTGGAGAAGAGGAAAGGCAAGGCGATAGTCCCTGGGGGCGCGGCATAGAGGTGTCTCGTGCGTGGAGGCCGCTGCACTCCATGGGGAGCAGCAGCCTGCAGCGTGGTTGTAAGGCGAGGCGAAACTCCGCTGTGAGGGCTTGTCTAAGGGGAGATGGCAGTCAGAGCACTGCCCTGCCAGAAGTGACAGCGACTGACTTACAGGATGCTGTTCATTTAGCAGCCTTTGTAAGTAAATACCCCTGCCAAATTTGCCGTCCCAGGTGGCTGGCCACAGTAAGCCCAAGCAACGGAATTACCAGTTTTTAACATCCCTGAGCAAACCCACTGCAGCCGAATTTAAACGGTGCGGATAGCTGCCGTGTGTACCGCAGTGGCGGTGGTCTAGGCACACATGGACAGCTCACACACATACCTACTCCATGAGCTACCGCTTGTGGCTGTCCGTGACTGTAATGCAGTTAGAGCGGTGTAAGAGAGTGTACGCTGTTACGCGTCAGAACAGCTTGTACCGCTGTAAGCGCCTCTGTGCAGCTGTGCTAGAGCGGTGCGATACGCTGGGTCAGCTGCCCCGCCTGCGCCTTAGGTAGAGCTCTCAGGAAGGACAGCAGTGCACTGCTGGGAGGGATTGAGGGTGAACCATCGTCTTAGAGCATTCCTGTTTCAATTTTTTGCTGCCTGAGGTAAACAGATTTTTTTTTTTTCTGTATATAATTGACTACAGTATTTGCGCATAAACGTCCTGCAGGGTGATTATTGGCCTAGGTGGTGTGGACTGTGTACATTTGTAAGGTTTCTTTCATGTTAAATCTCAAAATTCTAATCAGGTAAGCAAAAAAACCACATTAAACAAAGCAGCAAAAATATTGTTACAAACAATGTATCCTTAAAAATTAACAGGCCTTTACTACCCAACCCAACCTGAAGTCCTCGAGGCTGTTTGAGCATTAATACCCTAGACTGCAAATAGACATAATCCAAAATCTACAAAAAAAGAAAAAAAAAAAGATGTAATGATTCCAAAAATGACTATAATACTAAGGAGTTAATCAGTTTCCTAAAGACTTCAAGCTTTTTATTTATTTATTTTTATTATACAAAATTTCCATCCAAGATCTGTAGCCTGTAATATTACTTTTAAAATACATTAGCATTTGGTCGACCTTTTATCAGGCTGGTTATTTTGTCCTAATCCCAGAAAGCAGGAAGCTACTTCATTCTTGTTCTAGGTTTTCCTCTGTCTTCTGGCTTTAGAGGAGCTCTTGCAGCAGTGCTATTTACATGTTGTCCTAGTGCAAAAGAAGGTCCTTCTTACCTTTGATTTGATTTCCTGCAAACAACGGTCCTTTATTTCAGTTTAGAACTGTAAATCATCCCAATTCTTCTTGTTCTCGCTTGCCTAAGCAGCCTGTAGAGACATTAAGATACTTATTTTAGCACTGCAAATGGAAAAGGTGTCAAGTTTTTAATAGATAAGGCCCTTACAAATACCATAGGTGTCAGAGGTGGATGTCTGAAACACATTGCTACTGGTGTTAATTATGTGCTAGACCTGCCTCTAAAAGAGGAATTTCCAAGACAGCTCCATCCAGTGCAATCTGTTTATCTCTAGCTGACAGCTCTCCATCAGGCGTGATATGGGTGTGTTATTTCTGGAGACTTATACAGACTGGCACAGCGTCCTCAGAAGTAAGTCGAAGTCTTTGTAGCCACCTGACTTGGGCAGCCATCGTTCCCACAAAGACCTCTTAAATTTCACGTTGTCTTGGCTGCTGAATGTCTAATAACTTCTGGGCCCGTTAATCACCGAGAGTGTTCCTTCTCCTTGCAGCTGAGAACAGCAGCTGAAGGACAGACTTTGTTGGAAAGCAAAAAGTATAATTACAGTTGAATTCCAGGTCCCGCTAGAGCTCCTCCTGCTCAGCGCTCAGTACAATCCTGGTAATGGTTGAGGGAGCTCTAATCCTTTGCAGCCAGACGGATGTACCTTCAGCTGTGTTTCAAAGCTTAGGTGCCTGTGGGGCCTCTTCCAAGTACCACTGCCTCCGGTTGAGATTCCCCTGCAAACATCTGTGGAAGGTGAGTGGCTCAGAAAGTTTGAGCAAGGGCTTTAACGTGGCTTTATTTTATTGAGAAACCACTGTCTTTAAAAGTGCATTTGGAGGGGAATAGTGTGCTTCAAGGTTAAACCTTTTTTTTTTTTTTTTCCCCTCCCTGGTTAAAAAGGAGCTTTCATTTGAAGAGCCTTTAGCAGATTTGGAATCACCTTTTACAGTGCTCAGATAAATGTTACAACATAAATCACAAATCACATCGGCATAAAGTTTATGAATCTTCGTGTCAAATATAATTAAATATATTGAATTCTCCAAGAAAAGCGCAATGCCCGGAGCTGCTCTGCTGGTTTTTATTAAAGATAAGGAAGTAGGTCACTAACTACCTGCGTCTCATTTCTGAAAAACTACTTTTCTCGCAGTTCCACGCCAGCCTGGAGTGAGCAATAATCTGTTCGAAATACTTGAAATTGAAAGAGGGATTACCGCCGATGAATTTGAAGCAAACGATGACCCAGGTAAAGATCACGTCTTCTGTTCGGGGCCTAGGGTTCAGGATTTTTTGACATTTCTTGGGTTTTTATACATTTTTACAGGCCTCCTATGTCTTATGCCCCTTGTTCAAACTATGCTTTGTAAAAAGAAAAAAACCCACCACATAAGGGAACCTGTATAGTTTTATTTCCTAACAGATTTAGCACAAAAATAGTGTGAATTGTTAAGAATAACACTACCATCCTTTTTATTGTTTTGCTATTTTTGTAGATTCTTTTTCTAGTGCTCCTTCTGCTGCGTTTAATTTTCATATTTACTTACCAGTGCCAGCCACAAGGGAAACTGCTGTAGTTCCCCAACCAAAACAATCAAAATCACTTTTTGGTTTTTTGACCTTCTGCTCTGTTCTGCCTAGGTGTGCTGGTACACAGCTGTAATTTTGATAGCGGACTGTGCGGGTGGATCAAGGACGAAGATGATGACTTGCACTGGGAACCAGTGAGAGATGCGTCAGGTAGGATACCTGTGTACGATCGCATCCTGTGGTTGAAGAACCGCCCAGGCTTGAGGCTGATGACAGTTCTCGCATTACGCTGAATTTACACAGCTTCTGTTCCCTTTAGTTCTGGAATATGTTTCACACCCATGCCTCTTATGTGTACAAAAATCAAACCCGAGGATTCCCAACATGAAAAAGCAATTGAGAATTTGGACTTTTATCATGGCTGGTATCTGTACAATAGGAATGTCTTTGAAGGAGTAGTAAATGTATTCAGTAAAAGATTATCTGTCGTAAAAGAATCGGAGAGAAGAAAAATGTAGACACAAGAACAACTTTTATTTACGGTGAAACAAAGCTTATTTTTCAAACCACCATGCAAACATACTTATTTCTATATTATTAGCAAAATTATAGAAAGTGCTGGAAATAGTCTTTGTTCTGCTGCCAAATATAGTGTTCTAATTTAACCTCTCCGTTTGATTTTATGGAATTCTGCTCTAAGTTACCGCAACCTGTATATAGGAAAACTGTTAAGTAACTGGAAGGAAGACAAGTTAGGTGCTCGTACGCAGAGGCTTCTGAAAATGGGCATGGTCGAGATGGTAAAAAGTGCCCTCACAATGAATATTACAGGGGAGCGTGTACGAGCCCCTTCCAGAGTGGCATCGGCACCGGTGGTCAGCCAAAGCAGCAACCCCTCCCACGCGCACACCCCAGCAGACCTGCACACCGACGCTGCTGGAAGCTAGCTGCAGTTTGTCCCCTGCTGACTTTACTGCGCGGCACAGAGAGGCTGGCCGTCCTTGCCTGCGTACCCTTCCCCCAGCGCTGCTTGCCCCACAGGGCTGGGGATTAGACACACATCTCCGGCTCCCCGCAACGACGGGATTACTTCATACCCAGGAGAGCAGCCTTTGAAGCGCACAATGCTTGCATTATGCGAGGGGATGGCAAACTTGGGAAGAAAACGCGCTCTCGGGCGGTGAGATGTTATAGGTTACGGTGAGGGAGGGTGAGGGCACCCAGAGCCATTTTCCTTGCGCCCCACCTCACCACAGATGTCTGCCCTTACACTGCCACTGATGAGACAGTCATTTGCCGCCGCAGCGGGTGACCTGGCACCTTCTCCGGGCTGCTCAGCCGGCTCCG